CTTCTATAGCTCCGTCTTTGATAAATTTATCAACATCTTTATATCGTTTCGTTTGTTGTGTTTGATGTAAAGGTAATTCTAAATCGTCGTATGCATCTCTACCGCATTTAGTACCAGCAATGTATAAAATAGAACCATTTTGGTGTATTCCTTCAGGGCTCTCATAGGCGAGACGGAGACCTTGGGTATCAGTTAAAAAGGTTTCAGTTCCTGCCAACTCTTCGCTAACTTCGTCATTAATTCTATTTCTTGTGTTAGGTGCTTCGTATGGTATCCCTTCGTTTCTTGTTTTATGTTTGTGCATTATAAAATAGTTTATAAATAAAATTATCTCATGATTAATGTAATGCTTAAGTTCGGAAAGGTTTATATTGATAGCAGTTACAAAGTGAGTGGTACATCATCCGATTTCACCATTGACTAAACTGTCCAGTTAGAGGACAACATGTTACCGCAAATACACGAGGTAAGCATTGCCCATTCGTGGTATTCAATACACAGCACGAACAACAATTTATATTTTAGACATCAGGTCATACCCCCAGGTATCGTGGCAGGGATAACTTACCGCAAAATAACAATCCCAGAAGGTAACTACACAGCGAATGATTTAGCGCAAACATTAGAGATTGCTTTAAATTTAGTTTGTGATACAGGTGATAGGCCCAACACATATTCAATAACGTATAACACGGCAACCAACAAATACACTTTCTCATCAAAATACTCAACCGTTATTTTTGTCGTCTTGAACCCATTGACGGTGGCGGGAAACTCCAGCATCATTAAAAAGATACCTGTTAATGTCCCTTATCTTGGTGTCATTAATGATAGCGAGATATGCGTTGTTGATTACATAGATGTATCGGGAAAAATGCTCCGCCGATTGAGTTTTAGATTATCCGACCACCTTAACCAAAACATAACTTTGAATGGGGTGGACATCTCATTTACCTTAACATTTTTCAGGGGATAATAAGTATCTAAATAGAAAAATCTAGACTATAATAATAATCAGCAGTGAGCCAAAAACAGCCTTGCAGAACTTCTCCACTTGCTCTCCGAGGTCCTCATGGACCAAGCGGGGAACACTGTCGCCACACATATCGATGCGCGTCCTCCGCTCAGAATCAGACAACCCCATTAAATTGCTCAATCCAATGCTGGTTTTTGGCGACCAAGTTGGAAAGTATTTGACACTCTTTGCAGCTTTCCAGAACTCCCCAAGCACTCCTCCAAGGCCGACGGTCGCGACAATCACCACTTTGCACACCCTGAAGTGCCTGTTGGCATTCTGTGTGCTGAGGCTCTCCTGACATTTTGCCACCGTCGCGTCGGGCTTGATGTCGAACAAGCCCAAGGACTTCTCCAGCACTGGATGATTCATGCCGGTCTGGTGGTTGTGGCACTCGCCCTGCTTGTTGATGGTGAACAACAATTCGGCAGTGCCCAACACAATCCACTCATAGTCCAACCTGCCATCCAGAAAGAGCCAGATGAGGTAGTAGATGAGCGTGGTCTTTCCTATGCAGGGTGTGCCACTGACTACACACCGTGCTCCTTTATCCATCTTCTATTCCCCCAGAAACTGCAGGAACTTCAAGTAACATTCTCGCTGAACGATGACAGGACTCTTCCAAGGCAGGAATTCTGCACTGATGCTCTTGTTGCGGTTTGCCAAATAGGTGAGCCCTGCTTCTTGGCTCTCCTGCTCACTGCTCATCGAAGCACCTTGTAGCCAGTCAATGAACTCCGGCTTGACGAAGCCCTTACGTGAAGCAAACAAGCCCCAAACCAACTAAGGAAACTAGCAACCCTCAATTACTATACAACCCAACAACCAAAAGGTTAAAGCGACAGAAGAGGAAGAGGAGTTCTTAAATGCAGGTGGGGCGCATCTGATGGTGCAGGATTGGCATGGACCGTGTATATCTAGTCGTGTGCTACGTTGCCATAGGATGGAACGACTGCATAACCATCTGCATCTCTCAAAGTCAAGGTGTCAGATGAGAGGTCAAAATTGCGAGCAATCTCCTTGCGAGAATCCTCCACAGAAACGTCATGGCTGATCTGGATGCCTTGCTCCACATCTCCGTACTTCACCTTGATGCGCTTGGGTTTTGGCTCGGTCACGGCATCAACATTTCCCCTTTGAACCTGCAGAAGCACCGGCAGTTCCAAAACAGACGCCCCACAAAAACAAGCAGACCTAAACATCCCTGAGCCTGCAAGATCACAAAAATCCACCTAAGCCATGCATTTTGAACGAACCCCACCTTGCCCCTGGAGAAGACGAGTTCTTTTTGGGTTAAGTTGGCGGACACCTTCCCATTTTTAGGGGAAATGGGGAGCGCGTTCACATTTTTCGGGGAAATGGGGAGCGCGGTCGCATTTTTCGGGGAAATGAGGCGCGTGTTCCCATTTTTCGGGGAGCGTGTTCCGATGTTTCGGGGAGCGTGTTCCCACATTTAGCGGAAACGCGGCAAGGCTTATAGCGCATGAAGACTGCGATTGACACGGCAAAAATGCTGAGAATTCAAGCCCTGAACCCCTAAATTTACCATAAATTCTATCAACCTAGCCACGCCTGTTGGGAAGATGGTCTTTGGATATACCCTATTTGATTAGGCTTATTTAAAATAGGTGCAAAAGCGTAGGGGGGGGGGTATGGGTTACAAGACCATCTTAATTACCGACAGGCGAGCCCCCCGCTAACTAACACTTCCCTCCTCTCTCGTCGCTTGGGCTCCAGGCCCGTCTCGTTTTCATCGCCTGGAGACCTGAACTATCAGAGAGCTGCTCCACTCAACGCTCTAGATTCAGCACATCTTAGCAGAATCGGGAAACCATCCTCTTACAGGTGAGCGTTTTGGGCCCTAAGACTTTTCAGGAACATTCACCGAGATTCTGGCTGTAGCTCCGGTGGCGTTGCCGGCGTCTCCACCCCAGGAGGCACTGGCAAAGGGGAGTGCTCCTGCGCACTCGTGGAGATGCGAAGAACGCATTCGAAGGACCCACTCGCCAAGAGCTCCGAATCAAGTTGCAGCAGCGCGGGTGCACGTGCCACATAGGGTCACTTCTCGAAAATCTGGTCCCTGTCGCTGCCCTTACTAGAAGGAGGCCCCTCTTGCTTACCCAAAAGCTGAACCTGAAAAATGAACCCGACTGTAGAGAGAACTGACCATGTATCTTGCTCTCCGGTTTCCTCTTTGCCATCTCCGGGCTCGGGAGAGATAAGGCCAACTCCAGGCTCGGCATCTGATCGCACAAGGGCCCACAAAAGGCATGTGGGGGTTTCCGAAAGTACACTCTTGGGGTCCTCATTATAAGGGGATCCTACTATTTGAACCTATTTTAGGGGTCCCCATTGTCGTAAGCCCCCATATGGGACCAACAAAAAACCATTTGCGAAGGACCAACACGCTTGAAGCAAGCTTCCTTTCCACTTAGGAGAACGGAAGAGCCAAAGCCATCAAGAGTTCGACATCAGATCTAGATTGGGGCAAAGGGGCATGAGGGCAGAGCTCCAAAAATTGCCGATGGGACGAAGCACGTTCCTTCTACATGAGGGAGGTTTGTTAATTTGGGCCGTCCGATCTCGCCTGATCACCTTCCTTGATGAAAACAACCATTTCAGTGAGTACCTTCAGGTGACTCTGAACTTCAAGCTCTAGATGTGTCTCATACTACATTGCATGAAAGCTCCTTCTATTAACCTGATTTGTTTTGCTTGTTTTGCTCTGTCTCTCCACACGCTTAGCCCCCCGAAGGAGGCTGCCCCGCGCTCTCTCTCTCTCTCTCCTGTTGAAAAGGTGGCTTGAACCGATTCTCGATGGAATGCAAAGAGGCTGTCTTGTCATACCGTGTTGCTCGGATTCCTCTCCGGTCTCCATTTGAAACTGTGCTTTGAACTCTGCAAGTCGATAGTCAGGCCATCGTCAGCACCGACACTATGCAACAATTAATTTCAACAGGAAGAAAACAACGATGGGGGCTACGAATTCAGACAGACAAAGGTTCACGCTCTTGGCGTTCTTGTGCGGCACAAAGAGAATACTTATCGTAGTCAGGCCAATGCTTTCTCACACTTCACGTGACAGTAGGAAATTACGATGAGAACGGTTATTGCCGCTCCATTCCTTGACCGGATGCACACCAACTTTCAATGTGTTTGTCTTTAGAAAAGCCCTCAGTGGATTTCTATCCATTCAGTTAGTTCGCAGTATTGTTTGGAAAACCCGCAGCATCGCACTTTGTGATGTCAACGAACAGAATGCTGTATCAGGAGTTCCTCGTGGTGCCTTTTGAATGTGAATAGGTGTCCTCTCGCTTTCCTTTCTTTTGCTGCCTCACTGCGCCAACGGACGATTTGTGGCGACTGATTACAGTCAAGCGGGTTGTCGCTTATGCGTCTGCAAAACCCATGGGTTTCGCTTTCCCAATGACTGCGGACCCCTCTCGCCAACCCAGGCCCGCTACACAGAGAACACTCCACACATCCCCACGCGACGCAGCATGCAACGTCCTTCTGAGCCAAAGCGTCCGAAGTGCGAAGTAGACAGAGACTTAAGTTAATCAAAGCTCATCCAGATCGCTCCCCAAAACCTGCAAAGCAGAATTTTAGGAGGAGTGGACACCACAAGAGCCACCTCCGCTGGCATCAGGAGCCTCGGACACACTGAGCCACACGGGACCATAACTTCCCAAGACTGTCATCAGTGCCCCACCGGATCCGCAGGAGCTGGTCGTGGCTGCCCTGAATCACGCAGGCATGAACTGGGAGCATTGGAGAGGCAGTGGGCTGCAATGGCCTCGATGCACAACTAGCGGTCGCATTGTCGCACATCGCACGCCCCTTTTAACCGAAAGATACCATCCACCTGACCTGGACTTTGAGGATCCGTCGGGTGAGGCTCATGTCGCCGGCAGACGCGCGGCATATCACAGCATCTCGGTGACTTGTCAACAGTGCAGCTCGTCTCGGCTTGCTGCACTCGGACTCACGGTGGATACAACTCGAAGATCTTGTCCTTGGCCACGGGCAGGTTGGTACAGTGACGCTTGTCAAAACACATGTCTACATCCGTGGCTGTCGATAAAGAGCTGGCCTACTTATAGACGCTTCGGCCCCACATACAGGGGTTAGCCTGAGCCCTCCAGGCCTCTGGAGGGGGGAGGCGGCATACACAACCAATCTAACACGCGTTGAAACATCCGGAACCTACATATGCTGAATACAGGCCGAGTAAGACCACATTCCTCCTACTGCCTTTGAGGCAATTTCAAGATGCGACGGATGCTTAGAATGCACGGCGATGCACCCAGGGCACCTGGTACAGTTCTTCAGAGTTTCCCTTGACGCCGTCTAACGACTTCAAGAGGGCTTTGACGTGGCCAAAGATCAGGCGAGTGTTTCCAAAGCTGAAGCCACCTTAGGTAAACTTGCGATTTCGAACGAACTCGCGATTGTAGTAAGCAAACGCATAGAACTGCGATCAAGCCTGGCCGCCCACCATCCATCGGCCCAAATCGCACAGCGCAAGATGGTAGGAGTTCCAAAGGTATTCGAACTCTGGGGCGGCATCCTCCTGAGCTTCCTGAGCATAGGGCCTAGGGCCTAGGGCCGAGGATCCATCCCAGCCCAAAGCAGACTTTTTGACAATCTGCAAACTGCAAGAGTGCCATAAGGTGATAAACGGGCTAAGAAAACGCTCACCCTAAACCCTAAACCGTAAACCCTAAACCCTAAACCCTCATATTTGCATTCAGGTGGCCAAGAGCTTCGAAAGCTCTTCGTGGTAGAAGCGCAGCAGCTCCCTTTCGGAGTCTTCGGATGACAGGCCACCAGCAGCCACGCCAAGGAAGTAGGCGAGGTCCTTTATATTACTAGGAATATATTTGTTTGAGAATATACTAATAAAGTAATATAGAACAATTAATACAATAATCTAAAAACACAACCATATAACCATATAAGAACATCAAAAACTTATTAATACAAAAAACATACCATTATACTGATACAAATTATACCGAATCTACTAATATACCAATACATCAATATAACAACATAACAAAACAAACATAGAATGCAACCACATACTACTGTAATAATATAACAATATAAGAGACTGAAAATATAGTTATATGATCATGTATGAATTTCTCAATGTACTAATATAACAATAGAACAATACAACAATCGACTATGCGAATGTTGTAACCATATAAAGATATAACAATATTAATCTAAGAATACAATGAACATTGTATCATACAAGTAAAATAAAGCAGCACTAGAATAATATACTAATATGGTATAGTATAGTAATTAACTTGTTAATTAGTTAATAATTGGGGGGGTTTCCGAAAAGGGGTACCTTTTTGGGGTCCTTGTTGCAGGAGAATCCTACTTTGGGGGGGGGGGGGGTATATATTCAGGGTCCCCTGTTTTCGTAAACCCCCAATTAAGTAACTAACAACTTAAGTAATTTCTAGATTAACTACCGAAGTAATAAATGTAATCGTATAGTCATTTAATACAATACGAAAACAAACATATTCTTATTGAATAAAATGTTAATGTAAGAGTATTGCTTATAACATAAGGGTATAGCCATTGCCTGACTACACTGCAGATCAAAACGAAGATCGCCGCACGTGCAGCTTTACCGGTGTTGCTCCTTCGTGGGTGGAGCTTTGCCAAACCACTGGAAGTCGTAGAAAGAAACTCCTGCCTGCAAAGGGGGCGGCCCCTTTAGCTAAGGCTATGGATTGCAGACTCAATGGCCACGCCTCATCATCCCACATGATGTTTGCACCTTTCGGGTCACCGTGGCACAGCGTTTGCATCTTGTCTGCCTGCCAGGCAGGACAACACAGGCATGAATCACATGCCGCCGCTGTCGTGCCACGAGTCGTGGCCTTCAGCCTAGCATCGATGCCCCGGGCAGCCCAGCGAAGCGCATCCTGTAGGAAGCCGTGACATTTGGCTTGCATGTCGAACTGTCCCGCTTACATGCGTTGGGAATCCTTTTCGCTCTCAACAACTAGCACTGAGATCTGACAGCAAGTCCCAGCACCTACCTCCTCAGACTGACTGAGTTCTGTGTGTCTCAACCGCGCCGCTTCTCCCATCCTCAGGCATGCGTTTCAGCTCAATGTGGCGGGTGTCCAAGTGCCTGCCAAGTGCTAAGATTTCCGGTGGCAGTCAGCAAGAAGAAGCAGTGAGGCAGTTTACGCGGGCTTTGGGCGAAGCCGGGGCGGGGGGGGAGGGGTAATAACGACCATGCTACTCGCCGAACCCTGGACTCCCTGGACCTCAACCCCAACCCTGAAATTCTGGAGAGTGGAACTGAGTTTTTGGTACATCTCCTGTTACTGCACGCGCACACTCATGCGCGCACACGCATGCGCGCACACGCACGCGCAAAGGCACGCAGACGTGGGTATGACGTGGGTCTCTACGTAGGGCAAGAAGCCGCCGTGCCAAGCTGACTTGAAACATGTCCAAGTGCCAGAAGCAGGCTTGGCCGGAGATGCCTGACCTGAGTAGGCTGGTGCCACCTTGCTGCTTCCTGAAACTCGTAAAAAAGCCTTCGACCTAAAAAAGTGACTCGGAATAACTCAGCCTTCTGCACTGGAGCAGTACCGAGCTTCGCTGACTTCAGACAGATTCTGTGTCACGACGGTTCCTGAGGTGCTGACGCCGCTGCTGCATCTGCTCGCTTGCCCCAGAATGTTGCGTGCAGCCGGGCCAGCCAGCAAAGAGCTGCCTTCCTGTGCTAGGCACCACTGTCACATGCAGTTAGGCAGCAACATGCCCCCAAATATACGGTATACGACAGCGGAATGACACACGGAAGCTACACAAGACGAAAAAGCCACGACAAGATGGTACAGGGCCGCTTGCTTCGAGCGTCGCCTGCTCCGGGCTCCGGGAGAAGCCACGGCCCGGCAGCTTCGTCATGCCTCGAAATCGGAGATTTCAGTGTCAGGGCCACTTTGGCCTGCATGGAGTGGCTGTCAGCAAGCCGGACGCAACAAAGGCGTGCTGGAGCAGGGAAATGCGCAAAGCAGTCCAAGATCGACACATTTCAGAAGGAGATTTTCCCCAGAACTCATAGCACAAGCATCGAAGCTGAGCTGCAGATAGTGACATCACCATCCTCCAGAGGCTACTCGCGCCATGAGCCGTAACTGGACTTTTCAAGCCTTTCAAGCACGCTGCCTTTTCTTGCTGGCTCTCTCACTTGAACTTCACCTAATCATACTAGTAAACTACTAGTCAGCTTTTACATTTCTTTCTGAATTATTACAATCATTATTCATATTTGCGAGTACGTTTATGCACCCTTGTCCTTGGATCGGTCAACGAGCAGGGGTCGAGGGCAGCGCGCACCACTATCACAAATTCGGTCTGGCAGGTCCGACTCGTAGAAGCTTGCCTTCCAGAGTCCAGAGTCTATTGCTGTGATCTATGTAAAAAGAGGCCGTGAGCAGTGAACTCTTTCTCCAAAAAGCAAAATTAGGATGTGGAGCTCGGCGTCTCTCAAGCAGAACCCGAACTCAAACGAAGTTGCTGAAACTCCCTCAGGCCTCGTTGTAGTAGGACATGTGGTCCACAAGTGCCAGCTCATCCTCCAACTTCTTGTATGAACCTTGCTGGCAAACTCAGAAAAGAAACGGATCGATGTCCCGAATGATGGGACGCTTGCCCGCAAGAAGTGCGGACTCAAACCGACCCAACAATGTCAAGCGGTCTAGCGAGAATGCTATTTCCTGCTGGGATGTAGGCTTTCAGACCCCTGAGGAATCTGGTGCACAAGTTCCTCAACCGCATTTCATCGACGACTTACTTTTTGCGTTGCCACTCTTGCTTTGCTGTCGGGCATAAAGGCGTAAAGCGGCCAAGCTTAACTTAGCCAGTGTTCCGACCGACTTCACGACAAATGCCTCCGTCGCAGCCTTTCCGGCGACCTGCCAAGGTGAACGCTCTTGCTGGCAAAGGTAGCTGGCAAAGGTAGTCTGATGCTGATGATGTTCAATGATGTTCAATGCACAGTCGCACACCTTCCTGCATTGAAGTAACGACGAATGTTAACAAGAGGAATTGCCTCGATCTCGTCAACACTCCCCATGCCGGTCCAGAGTCCCAGCCTCAGTAGAACGTCAAGACGTCTGAAGGCTCATGTGTTGGAGTCGATTCCGAATGCCAGGTGGGGGGGGGTTTTCTGGCCCGTGGGCCAGGGTTCGCACCCGCGAGGAGTCAGGACAGATGTGAGGAACACACCCCTGATCACTCCCGCAATGAGCGGATACTGCGCGCTTGAACAGCCTTGCTGGAGCCTTTCTCTGGAACGGAGGGAACCCGAACTCCAACTGGACCCGCCCAGCCGCTAGCCATTCCCAGCTTCAGCACGTACAGGAGCAAACATTCACAGAAAGCACTTCATGCATCTAAGCTGCAAGTTGCGAGGTTTGACACTCTCGATCTCCCCAACATTGGCAAGACCTGCCCATTGCGAGTTCGAGTAAACGGCGGGGCCATGGTAGCAAGCCACCGTACAGTGCTTTGCAGGATCAGCACCGCAGACAACAGCATGCTGGCCACAGCAACCGTTCCCAGCTCGAGGAGCGGGAACCACATCCGGTTGCCTGCCTTTGCTCTCAAAATGCGGCAGGCATCTTCGCGCGAGTTGAAGCGCGACTGCTTTATCCATGGCATCAGAATCAACACCAAGGCTAAGCGCCTGATTACGCGGAATCACTGTGAGCATCATTAATTTAGCTTTGCGAAGGTGGGCGCTCGCCTCTCCGAAGTGCACCCCCGGTAAAGCCTGTGACGTACACGTTAAGGCTTTTGGCTTTAGCAAGTACTACACACGTGTTCTTGAATGGCTTGTGCTTACATAGAGTTACATGGTTCTGATGACTCGTCTCCCTAGTGAAGGCCATGACGACAGCTACAGTTCATTGCTCAGCCCACCAAAACACTTGAGCCGTCTTCGCGGTCTTAACGCACTAGGGGAATCTGACTGGATGACGCAAACAAACACGGCCACCTGCTTTGCTCAAGGGCTGGTTGAGACACTATGCACCGGAACCAGCGAGCCTTCCCCCTTCACCGGCGATGTGGATGAAGAGGATGACCTTGAGGCTGGGAACCTACCAAAAGCTTCAATGGAGCAACGTTCGGACCTGGGTTTGCAGCTTGCATTGAACCCCCTGAGGCTGCTTGGTCCTTTTAGCTCTGGCCTACTACGAAGCTTCCGACTTTTTCCTTGATCTCACCCCCCCCCCCCTCCTCCCCCATACTTCAAGTTTGAGATGGACGGAAACATCGGGAGCCGGACGAGGATGAAGAAGAAGACGAAGACACGGAAGCCTTCGGCTCTGCTTCAAGTGCCTGGCGGAAGCAAGTTGTCTCCAATCCCAAACCGTGTGTGGTTCAGAATGAAGCCTGTGTCGTTTTGACAGGTGGCAGATGCTGAATCCGACCAAGGTGGACTGAACAGACTGCGTGAGACAGCGATGACAGTCACAGTTCTCCAAGTTCTCCTTTCCGGTTTTCCTGCGAATAGGGGCGGGCCAAGCGATGATCTGGAGGAGTCCAGGAACAGTCGCACAAGACTTGTGCAGGCCACTTGCTGGACGAAGAACTAGCAGCTGATAAGCTACATTGGATATGGCAATGGGCGCGAGCGCTGGCTTCGAAGGTTGCAACCCTCAAACCACCAGAGGTACACCCATTGGGATGAACAGATTCATGTACAAACCTCGCAGGTGTTCTGCGTGGCCACAGTGGCGTCTACCAGTCAAATCTTGATGTGCGCGAGCTTGTCACGCAGAAAGCGCTCTTTGATCCTGTCGCTTTCGTCCTTCCACTGCCTTCGAATGTTGACCATCTCATGCGAAACCACAGTCACCCATGCATGTGTAAAGCTTCGTTCCAGGTGAAATAGGGGGATTTATGAAAATGAGGGACCCCCTATAATCGACCCAAATACAAGGATTCCCTTATCGTGAGGGCCACAAGAAGGCACCCCAAAATTCGGAAGCCCCCCAAATCATGGAAGCTCTTCTTGCGGACCAGGGCTCTGTAGCTTGTGGAGCTGGGTGGAAGCCTCTTCTTCGCGTGCGCGGAGCGCTGCCAGCTCCAGCTGCATTTCCTGCACCAGCGCCTGAACCACATGAACCACCAACTGACTTGGGCCATAGAAGCAGACTTCCCCTTTCAAACAAAAATTGTGCGCGGAAAAAGTCCCCGCAAACTTAAAGATGACTGCGAAGCCTCCTTCTGAAGGAGGGCCTCGCTCAAGGTGTGTATCTCCTCCACATGCTTCGGGCACGTGCATCCGTGCGATCAAGGAGAGAAAAGAAAGCTCGAGGGCATTCTTGGATGCGTAATTAGTAAGGCTCGAGTCAGAGTTCATCGTAGCTTTTCAGGCAGAAGTCAAGGCCCCGGTCCTCGGCCTTCGAAGCCTTGAAGGCCAGCATGTCCCGCATCGCGATCTCCAAGCCCTGAGGTACCAAGATGTACCAAGGCCATTCGTAGCACAGCGCGTCGTACCGTGCTAAAGATAGGCTCCGGGGCAGGGGCTTGATTCACGCGGCCCAGATCTTGCGTTTTCTGCTCGAGTTGTCCTGAGGGACCAAGCGCCCAAGGCCCAAGACTGTGGACTGCCATGCCGTGTCTGCCGTGTTTTGCAGTCCTTGCACTTCTTCCCGCCCCTTCTGCTCCGATGCGTACAGCGACTGAAGCTCAGCAATCTTGGCATCTTTCCTCTCGTCTTCCGATTTCAACTCGGAGCAGAGTTCTCCTCAAGGGGCAGAAGGTGTGTGAGTCTTTGGGGCATCTGCTGGCACCCTGATCATTATGCCCCACCGCATTGGACTGTTGACTGTGCTTCGCCAACCCTGTCCCAGCTTGTCGCTTTCAATGCGCTGGGCATCCAGGGCTTTCTCCATTGATGCCAGCGCTTCGCTCTTTGACTTCTCAGTCTGTTCCATCTCTTGTGACACCGCATCCAGGTCCTGTGCTTCAACAAAGCAGGATGCTCTCTGCGTAACAACATGGCAGCATAAACATCATGTGCATAGTACTCATGCAGACTCATTAGGTACCATAAGACCTTCTGCAGCTGGGCCATCTGCGAAGCTTTCTCAGTGAGCTGTCCTGAAGCAGACAAGAACTTCGAATTTCGAACAAATATGTAAAATCGGGCCGTCTGGCATGACATCTTCATTGACGGCGCACGTCGCAATACCTGCCCTGCAAATCTAATCTAGCTGCGCAGCGGTCAGGATGAAGGTTCATACGCCCCCCTGACCACAGGATCTCCAATGAACCCGATAAAGTTGCAAGCCTAGGGTGGCACGCGAAGCCACCACAGACCGCGTCCGCACAAAGTGTCCGAGGAGTTTCTGAGTTTCTCAGAGCTTAGGAAGTCGTGGCAAGGGCGGATAACTTGTCCGGCGCGTCGTAGTTTGCCTTCCTAACAGACGTTCGGCGTGCCATCGTTGCGAAAATGTCGCCATCCAACCGGGCCATGTAGCGATGCAACGTTGCGAGAAACGAGCAGCAACGTTTCTCATGCCGTAGATTGAAGTGTGCCCGCTTCATGTGTCTGCAAAATAATATCCGGTGCCTTAGTTATAGACTCTATAGATCTTCATTTTGAAACACGCCACAGGACAAGCAAATAACAACTCTCTCATCGTTCGAGGGGTGCAGCGCCACCCTCCGTTCAAGACTCAGCCGCAACCAGCCCCAGCTCGGCGGACCATGCTCCGCAACATCCAAATCCTTGCCGGCCTTGTGGCCCCTTATCCTGCACCGTGAGGGTCATTACCTACAAAGCACGGACGGAAAACACGGGGATGCCGACACTCTGTTCATCCGACTTGGCCGCGCAACCCGGCATTTTCTGTACAGCCCCTCACGTCTTCCAAGAACTCTCGTGCATCAGGAAGATAACATCTCTTGAAACCACTTCTGCATGGGTGAGGCGGGGCATCGCGGGGCCGACAAGTCAACAACTTCTGTTCCCGAGCATCACTCAGAGCAGACTGGGCCAGGTGTGAAGAGACAGCACCAGAGACTTAGACACTGACAGGCGAAGCGCGGCAAAACACGCAAATTTTGGACCAGCTCGCCCAAAGGATTCTCAAGCATCTCAAGCCTGCGCGCCGGCCCCTCCCCTGGAAACCAAAACGAGGAGCTTGACAAGGTACTGCTCTCAGCTGTCCTTCCAAGTCTTCTCGTGCCTTCTGCACAATCGACTGTGCCTCATGAAGCTCAGCAATTTTTGCTTCCTGCTTCTCGCCAGCAGACTGCAGCTGCGAGCACATCTTTCCTGCACAAGCACTTCATGCGAAAGAAACCTCTCTCCTCCCACATGTTCCTTCTGCTGGCTTGAACACCTTGCTACCGCCACTTTACAAACCCTGTCCTAGCTTCTCATTCTCGAGCTGCTTCGCAGTCAGCTTGGCTTCCACTGATGAGATGGCATTGTCCTTCGCTTTTGCCATGTCCTCCATCTCTTGCGTTGTGTCCTCCAGAGCCTGCATGTGTGCGACTGCAGTTTGATCAACCACTCCAGTCGAGGCACGTGTGCATTTCCAGAGCTCCCCAAAACTGCTCCAAACGACGAAAGCTTGAAGCACCCGACAGGTGCCATGTTGATTGCTTCCCATGCTTCCCAGTCGGGGCCTCTATCTTTCGGCTGAGAAAGTTTGAAGTTTAAGTTCTCAAGCCCAGCCCAGGCCTCAGAGCCCTATAGGCCTAAATCCAGCCTAAGGCAACTAACAGTCGAGATTTTTGCTCGGGGGAATCTGAATATATGAGGAGGTGTGGGGACTTGTAATACTAGGGTGAAGAGATCCATGCACTTGGTCTCCGATCCGCGGCCTTTTGCAGCTGGGTCAGCTCAGATGCCTTCTGCTTCAGCTGTCCTGGCGCAGATGGACCAGAATTCGGGATCTGCACACGCCTGGGTGGGCCGCTGAACTATACTATACTATATGCTGAAAGCCTTATACTTATACATTCCACACACAACTGACAAAAGGCTCAAAGATTGTTTCAAAGATTTTCAAAGACATGGAGCTCACCTGCCCGAAGTACCCAGAGGAGCGGCCCTTCTTATTACTGCTTTCGGTGATATACAGACCATGTGGGCACTTTTGGGGTCCAGCTCACAATATCGCTCCTTGACTGTACATGCGAAGCATCAGAGCTACACCTTGGGTCCAGGACGTAAATTTCCTGCCCGGGTCGAGCCAGCTTGGCTTCCTTCATACATATCGTGGGCGCGGGGTGGGGACTTCCCATACAGGCCTTACACTGGAGGAGGTTGCCTGTGAACTTGGCCCCAAGAAGCTAAGACTTTGGGATTCCAGCTTCCAGAGCTATCAGACCTCTTTTCCTGGGCTGCCTCATGTTCAGAAACTGAGCCAAAAGAGAGAGGCCGCCCTGCACTAGATGTGAATAAGACGTTTTCATGCGTTCCTACTCTTGCAGCTGGCATCGCTCTGATAAAGGTTCGATGTCGTGCGAACAACTACTGACAAGGTGGCTGAAGCAACGCCGGCACACCGGATATTCAATACTTATTCAATGTAATTTGCTAGCAGATAACGAGCCCGCACAGTCGAAGCAGAGCAATGAAACGAGCGCTCGCATGCTGGCATTGTCCTTGTAGCTCAGTGCGGCCTCTCTCTTCAGCAATACGCAGGCGCTGAAGTTCAGTGATCGTTTGCTCCTTCTTGGCCTCTCGTTCCTTGAGCTCACTGTAGCTTTGTCCTAGTGGCTGGCAGACCATCAAGTAGGTGTGACGGCCACGCCCTAGAAAGAAGCAGAAGGAAGGCCCTACAGACACTACAGACTTAACCTATATGCGCACAGGAACAAGCCAAGTACAAAGGACTGTAGGTTCGACTTCCAAACCCTGTCCAAGCTTTGTGTTCTCCAGCCGCTGTGATTCCACAGTTTTCTGCAGGGCGGCGATGTCATCGCTGCTTGACTTCTTGACGCCTTCGATTTCTTGCATCCTCTCCGTCAAGACCTGCGAGAACTGAGAGCAAAGAAACAGTTCAAGAAACTGAGAGAACAGAAAACAAAGCTCGAGCGCGACATTCTGCCACTGCACAGCTTTGTTGCCTGCTGCGCTTTGTTGAGCTCGTCAGCTTTCTGCGCGAGCTCTCCTGCACAGTGTTGAACACTGCATGCCGTTAGGCTCAATCCTCGACCTGGTGAAGTCACGTGACTGGTGTCCAGGATGTGGGCTGTTCGGTTGTCTTCTTGTGAGTTGAGTTGTCAACCTCGTGCGAAGGCTGAGGATCTGTGTTATTCGAATCCCGGCTTGCCTCGCAGGTCCTGCCGGGCCTTGTGCTCCACGGCACGCAAACCCTGCAACTCGTTGAGCTCGTTGTACAAATGTCCTGGCGGCCAGTCTGCCGTTGGCGCGAGGCGACACTTGAAGCAGCTATTCTACTGAAGGACAGTAGCACTTTCCGACAGCACGTGCATGTGTGTGTGTGTGTGTGTGCGTGGGTGTGGCAACTTTTTTCAAAAATGGTTGTCGCGGCTACTCACTAATGCAGGGGCTCGCGGGTGGGTCGACCTCAAGGGTCTGTTAAACATCCGTAGATGCGATGGGGGCACGTGACACGTGTGCCTAGAACTCCCGGACGGAACAAGATCCTGCAAATATACTGCAGCAGATGAAAGGTTGTATACCTCGAAACACAGCATTTTTTGGTCCATGCGGGTTCAATAAATACTCAGGGTATTTCGTATTCAGATGTATTCAGGGTATCATGCAGCCCTGTCCAAGCTTCTCTTCTGCCAGGTCCGCCCGCCGCCTTTCAAGGTCCAGCTGTGCCGCCAGCTGTGCCGCCTTGCTCTCTGCATCAGCATCAGCTGCTCGACCTGGGGCCACGAGAGCCTCCTCAGCAGCTTCGGTACCCGCCACCTTCCTGGCGGCAATGAGCTCCACGATTTCCTCTCTCTGCATTTCAGACACCAATTCCAAAGCTGTCATCTTCTGCCTCAGCACAGATGTTTGGATGTCTTTGGCCACTTTAGCCTTTCGCAACACATCCTTTCAGGCGCAAACAGCCATCAGACTCAAACATCATGCACGAATGAAACTGACTTCCCGGTCTCATGGGTCTTGCGCGACTTGGAACCGTCTACTACAGAAGTTGGAAGCCTCCACGGCACATCCCCAGATGCAAACGCAAGCAAGGCGCTGGTACAGCACATCCCGTGCATTCGGGGTCTGGGTCGTGGCAGCTGAGGTGTTGAGCATATGCTTCTGAAAGAACTGGCTTGCTTGGCTCGCCCACCAACCGCTTTGCTCATTTTGTGCCAGCTGAACCGCCCCAGCTGCACCAGTAACCACGCCCGCTGTCGCCCCACCCAGTACAAGCCTGGCACTCCGTGCTGCATGGCGCGCTGCCTCTCGGATGCCCATGCTGGGTTGCAGCAGCAGGGGCTGATTGTTCAATGGTGCAGAAAATTGTGTCAGGCAGGTGTTCGGTTAACAGCTGAATGTCGTTGAAGATCCTGCCAGGTTTACACTTTACGCAGTTGCAGGTTTCGCTTCGTCTTCCATGCCGCGCCAGGATTCAGGTGTTTGAGCCATTGCAAGACATAAAGGCTCCAGCGCCTTGCAAGTCTCTGCCGGCTTTCGGCCACCCCTAAGCATAACAGGCCAATTTCATTCAGAAAGCCTGAGCATCTGCCCTGGCATCCTCCACTGCGATGGCTGAGGCCTTGCAGCTGTGGGAAGTACCAGCATGGCCAGAGTTTTAGGGCCGGCACCCCTACCTGCCGATGTTAAAGTTAAAAGTCTTCGTGCCATCTGAAAATTGCAGTGTAGCAGTTCTTTCCGCTTAGTTTCTGAAGTCTTTGGAACCGAGCTAAAAACAAAGCTGGAACACCGAAACTTGAGGGCCTGAGCCCATCCCTAACCTGCCTTCCGAAATACTCACGCCTCCAGTGCCCTGAGAAGCTTGAAGTAAGGCAGGCTAAATTCGGCCTCAGGTTGCCCAGCGTCAGGATCTCAAGTCTTGAGTCTTGAGGCCAGCCCTAATGCTAAGATTCCTTTTCAAAATCGTCTGCAGCCAGGCCAGCCGATCAATTTTCGAGGGTCAGCAGCTTCGCCGACACGGTAGAATACCAATTGTTTTTGACCCTCCGGAAGAGTATGCGACAGTGGAAGCTTGAACCCCAAACTTCAAAACTTAACCCTGAAGAAAAAATCAGACTCCATTGATGGTCATTTCTGTGCAGTGTGAGCCCTGAGCTTCGTGCAAGCTTAAGGAACAACCGAAAGTGAACCGAAATTCAGATTCAATAGCTAGAAACATGTGATCTGCAAACTTCCGCGATGAGGCTAAGGGTCGCATATCCCAAACCCGAAACCCCCTACTTCATATTACAGGGAGGGTTTTTCAACAGGGGGCCAGCAAAGTCCTACTTGGAGCTTCATAGTACTTCTTAGCCAGCTATCCGCCGACCCCAGCAGCAGCGGGGCGGCGTCAGTGAAGACCCATTTTTGTCCGCTCTCGTCGCTTTCGTGCATGCCCCTTCCCTTCCCCCCCTCCACCCCCACATACACCCTGCCCATCCCATGCTACGCTCTTCCCGCCCGCTCCGCCCACCTCGCCTATGGCCCGCACTGCCCTTGCTGCCCGCCCACCCCGCTCGTGGCTCCGTCTGCTCGAACCCCTCCCCACCCCCACCGCGACTCCCACCCCCACATACACCCTGCCCATGGGTCCCTTCCTATGGCACCATGCCTGCGCTTCCCGCACTGCGCTTCTCATGGCCCCAGGGGCTGCCGCCCCCTCCGCTTGCTCCGCTTGCTCCGCTTGCTCCGCTCTTCCCGCCCGTACTGCCCTTCTCATGGCCGCATGGTCCCCAAGGGCGTACCCTCCTCACCCCCACCCCGACTCCCACCCCCACATACACCCTGCCTATGGGTCCCTTCCTATGGCCCCATGGGCTGCCGCCCCCTCCGCTTGCTCCGCTTGCTCCGCTCTTCCCGCCCATGGTCCTGAAGGGCGTACGGCTCCATGGCTCCATGGCTCCGCCCTTCCCGCCCGCACTGCTTCTCATGACCTCAAGGGCCCCATGGCTGCATGGTCTGCCCTTGCTGCCCACCCACCCGCTCGAACCCCTCCCCACCCCCACCCCGACCCACCCCCACACACCACGCCCGCGCTGCCCGCGCTGCCCTTCTCATGGCCCCAGGGGCTGCCGCCCCCTCCGCTTGCTCCCGTACTGCCCTTCTCATGGCCCCATTGGTCCCCAAGGGCGTACCCTCCTCACCCCCACCCCGACTCCCACCCCTACATACACCCTGTGCATGGGTCCCTTCCTACGGCTCCGTGGGCTGCCGCCCCCTCCTCTTCCCGCCCGTACAGCTCTTCTCCGCCCTTCCCGCCCGCACTGCTTCTCATGACCTCAAAGGCTCATGGCCCCATGGCTGCATGGTGCCATGGCCCCAGGCCCCTGGACTTTCGCTTGCGCCCTTCCCGCCCGCACTGCCCTTCTCATGGCCCCGTGGTCTCCAAGGGCTCGTGGCCCCATGGCTCCATGGTCCCATGGCCCCACCCTATCAGCTGACTTTAAAGGGCCCCAGTGCATGCCCGCCCCCATGGCCTCAAGGGCTCATGGCCCCATGGCTGCGCATGGCTCCATCCGCTCGAACCCCCCAGTCCATGCCCGCCCCCCCTCCACTTGCTCCGCCCTTCCCGCCCGCACTGCCCTTCTCATGGCCCCGTGGTCTCCAAGGGCTCGTGGCCCCATGGCTCCATGGTCCCATGGCCCCACCCTATCAGCTGACAAAGAAGGGCCCCAGTGATGCCCGCCCCCTCGGCTTGCTCCGCCCTTCCCGCCCTTCCCGCCCGCACTGCTTCTCATGGCCTCAAGGGCTCATGGCCCCATGGCTGCATGGTCTGCCCCCACCCCGCCCATGGCTCCATCCGCTCGAACCCCTCCCCACCCCCACCCCGACTCCCCCCCCACATACACCCTGCCCATGGGTCTCCGCGCTCTTCCCGCCCGCTCCGCCCACCCCGCCCATGGCCTGCACGCCCACCCCGACTCCCACCCCCACATACACCCGTCTCTTCCTATGGCACCATGCCCGCGCTTCCCGCACGGCCCCGCCCATGGCCCCAGAAACTGCCGCCCCCTCCGCTTGCTCCGCTTGCTCCGCTCTTGCCCTTCTCATGGCCCCATGGTCCCCAAGGGCGTACTCCCTCACCCCCACCCCGACTCCCACCCCCACATACACCCTGCCCATGGGTCCCTTCCTACGGCTCCATGGGCCGCCCCCTCCGCTTGCTCCGCTTGCTCCGCTTGCTCCGCTCTTCCCGCCCGTACTGCCCTTCTCATGGCCGCATGGTCCCCAAGGGCGTACATGGCCTCAAGGGCTCATGGCCGCATGGCTGCATGGTCCCATGGCTGACGCCTGGACCCAGCAGCTGAATTTAAAGGGCCCCAGCGCATGCCCGCCCCCTCCGCTTGCTCCGCCCTTCCCGCCCACCCTGCCCTTCCCTATCAGCTGAATTTAAAGAGCCCCAGTGCATGCCCGCCCCCTCCGCTTGCTCCGCCCTTCCCGCCCTTCCCGCCCACACTGCTTCTCATGGCCTCAAGGGCTCATGGCCCTATGGCTGCATGGTCCCATGGCCCCATGCCGCTGAACTCTATCAGCTGAATTTAAAGGGCCCCAGTGCATGCCCGCCCGCTCCGCTTGCTCCGCCCTTCCGCACTGCCTTTTTCATGACGCCATGGTCTCCAAGGGCTCGTGGCCCCATGGCTCCATGGTCCCATGGCCCCATGCCCCTGGACCCTTTCTATAAGCTGAATTTAAAGGGGCCCAGTGCCTGCCTTTAAATCAGCTGAATGTAAAAATCAGCTGAATTTAAACAACTCCAGCGCATGCCCGCCCTCTCCGCTTCCTCCGCCCTTCCCGCCCTTCCCGCTCACACTTCCCTGTCCCCATGGCTGCATGGTCCCATGGCCCCATGCCCCTGGACCCCATCAGCTGAATTTGAAGGGCTGGACCCATAGCCTCCCCCCTTAACTTCCCCTCCCCTTCTCCCCACCCCCACCCCGCTGTAGGGGCTTTAGTGCATGGCCCCTTCCCTTCCCCCCCTCCACTCCCACATACACCCTGCCCATGGCCCCCGTGTCCGCTCTGGGGGCTTTAGTGCATGGCCCCTTCCCTTCCCCCCCTCCACCCCCACATACACCCTGCCCATGGCCCCCGTCCCATGCTGCGCTCTTCCCGCCCGCTCCGCCCACCCCCGCACCCCGCCCACCCCGCGCAGGGCTCCATCCGCTCGAACCCCCACCCCGACTCCCACCCCCACATACACCCTGGTCATGGGTCCCTTCCTATGACACCATGCCCGCGCTTCCCGCACTGCCCTTCTCATCTTCTCATGGCCCCAGGGGCTGCCGCCCCCTCCGCTTGCTCCGCTTGCTCCTTGCTCCGCTTGCTCCGCTCTTCCCGCCCGTACTGCCCTCCGCTGGCTCCGCCCTTCCTGCCCGCACTGCCCTTCTCATGGCCCCGTGGTTTCCAAGGGCTCGTGGCCCCATGGCTCCATGGTCCCGTGCTCCGCCCTTCCCGCCCTTCCCGCCCGCACTGTTTTCAAGGGCTCATGGCCCCATGGCTGCATGGTCCCATGGCCCCATGCCCCTGAACCCTATCAGCTGAATTTGTAAATCTGCCCGCCCCCTCCGCTTGCTCCGCCCTTCCCGCCCACACTGCCCTTGTCATGGCCCCATGGTCTCCAAGGGCTCGTGGCCCCATGGCTCCATGGTCCCATGGCCCCATGCCCCTGGACCCTATCAGCTGAATTTGTAAATCTGCCCGCCCCCTCCGCTTGCTCCGCCCTTCCCGCCCTTCTTGCCCGCACTTCCCTGTCCCCATGGCTGCATGGTCCCATGGCCCCATGCCCCTGGACCCCCATCATCTGAATTTAAACCCACCGGCCCTTGAGGCCATGAGAAGCAGTGCGGGCGGGAAGGGTGGGAAGGGCGGAGCAAGCGGAGGGGGCGGGCATGCACTGCGGCCCTTTAAATTCAGCTGCTGATAGGGTCCAGGGGCATGGGGCCATGGGACCTGGAGCCATGGGGCCACGAGCCCTTGGAGACCATGGGGCCATGAGAAGGGCAGTGCGGGCGGGAAGGGCGGAGCAAGCGGAGGGGGCGGGCATGCACTGGGGCCTTTTAAATTCAGCTGATAGGGTTCAGGGGCATGGGGCCATGGGACCATGCAGCCATGGGGCCATGAGCCCTTGAGGCCATGAGAAGCAGTGCGGGCGGGAAGGGTGGGAAGGGCGGAGCAAGCGGAGGGGGCGGGCATGCACCTGGGCCCTTTAAATTCAGCTGATAGGGTGGGGCCACCATGGGACCATCGAGCCATGGGGCCACGAGCCCTTGGAGACCACGGGGCCATGAGAAGGGCAGTGCGGGCGGGAAGAGCGGAGCCATGGAGCCATGGAGCCGTACGCCCTTGAAGACCATGACATGGGGCGATGAGAAAAGCCGTACGGGCGGAATAGCGGAGCAGGTCCAGGGGCATGGGGCCATGGAGCCATGGAGCCATGGGGCCACGAGCCCTTGGAGACCATGGGGCCATGAGAAGGGCGGGCCTGCTCCGCCCTTCCCGCCCGCACTGCCCTTCTCATGGCCCCATGGTCTCCAAGGCCTCGTGGCCCCATGGCTCCATGGTCCCATGGCCCCATGCCCTGGACCCTATCAGCAGCTGAATTTAAAGGGCCCCAGTGCATGCCCGCCCCCTCCGCTTGCTCCGCCCTTCCCGCCCTTCCCGCCCTTCCCTGTCCCCCCATGCCCCTGGACCCCATCAGCTGAATTTAAAGGGCTGCCCGCCCACCCCGCCCATGGCACCTCGAGTGGAGTGGACCCATAGCCTCCCCCCTTCACTTCCCCTCCCCTTCTCCCCACCCCCACCCCCCTCTAGCATGGCCTTCCCTTCCCCCCCTCCACTCCCACATACACCCTGCCCATGGCCCCCGTCCCATGGCTCCCTGGCTCTGCCCTTGCCACTGCTTCTCATGGCCCCAAGGCCTCATGGCCCCATGGCTGCAGCCCTGGACCCTGTCAGCTGAATTTAAAGGGCTCCAGTGCATGCCCGCCCCCTCCGCTTGCTCCGCCCTTTCCGCCAGTGGCCCCATGGCTCCATGGCTCCATGGCCCCATGCCTCTGGACCCTATCAGCTGAATTTAACGGGCCGCAGTGCATGCCCGCCCCCTCCGCTTGCTCCGCCCTTCCCGCCTGCACTTTCCTGTCTTCAGGGCTGCATGGTCCCGTGGCCCCATGCCCCTGGACCCCGTCTTTAAAGGGCCGCAGCTTCCCCCCCCCGCTTGCTCCGGCCTTCCCACCCGCACTGCCCTTCTCATGGCCCCATCAAGGCCTCGTGGCCCCATGGCTCCACGGTCCCATGGCCCCATGCCCCTGGACCCTATCAGCTGAATTTAGAGGGCTCCAGGGCATGCCCGCCCCCTCCGCTTGCTCCGCCCCAGCTACGGCTGCGGAGCTCCCAGGGGTGGTTTCGGATCCCGTGCAGAAACCCTAAACCCTAAACCCTAAACCCTTCTTCAACCCCTAAACCCTAAACCTTAAACCCTATGTTGGACGGCTTGGGCGTGGGCAAACCGACCCTTTGGCGCGTATCATATGTAAAAGATATAGTTTACAATATGCAATATGATATATCATACAATACAATATATATCTATATATATATATATATCACATATAATACATAGCATCTAGTATGCAGTATCTACTATATAGTAAATCGTATGTCGTATCTAGATTTTGTAGGTTGTAGTATATATATCTATATAAACATATATTACATATTGCATATTTATATACATATGTTAAATATTGCATCTTGCGTGCCGGAACCCCCCCCCCCCCTTCCCAGCCAAGTACACCGATACGCGTTTTCCCCCCCCCCCCCTCTCCAATACGCCGATACGCTAACCCCCCCCTCCCGGAAAGTACGCCGCTAAGCCGATACGCCGCTTCCCCCCCCTCCTCCCCCGGAAATTGTACGCCGTTCGCCCCCCCCCCCCCCCCCAAAGCCTCTGGGAAATATGCCCATGCGCCGATAAGCCGTTCTCCTCCCCCCCCCTGCCTTCCCCTCGAAATACACCAATACGCCGAGTCCCCCCCCCCCCCCGACATACGCCGATACGCGACCCCTGCGGGGGCTTCCATCAGCAAGATTCCACGAGGAACAGGCGCAGGGAATACACAAGCACCCCTGACACCCGAAGCCGTCCAAAGCGCAAGCCCGGACGGCCTCGTGTTCACGTGACATCCTGCCGACGGAACCCTGCAGACCCCCCTCCACCCTGCCCCCTAGCCCTGGACCCTACACCCCGCACCGTCCGCCCGGCTGTGCTTCCCCTGTTGGGGGTCGGCGGCACTGGCGGTAGCCATTAAATCGGGCAGCGCGAGGTCCCCAAAGGACCGAGCAAATGCGGACCTTTTAGCCCGGGTCGTCCCGGGAATAGCCTTGCTGGCCTCTGGCCTTCTGCGAAGCAGAATTAGGCCGGACGCCAGTGCCGCCGACCCCCGCGTGCCGCCGGTGAACGGTTTTTTTTTCGTGGTTTTCTGCATCGCCACGGAGGCCCCCAGAGGGCTCGCATCATGAGCATCAGCGGGTCCAGCCCGGGACCCCCAGGCGCTCATCAGGAGCATCAGCGGCTCCCGGGGCGGGACCCCGGGGGCGCATCAGGAGCATGATGCCCCCCTAAGGGCGGGCATAAGCGACGTGTCTCAGCCCGGGGCTAGGAAAAAGGGAGTTTAGGGGCCTTATAAAGTGCTTAGAAACTTTAAGGGAGTCTAGGAGCCTCAAACGAGTTTAGGGGCCTGAAAATGCTTAGAAACTTTAAGGGAGTTGAGGAGCCTCGAACGCTTAGAGATTTTAAGGGAGTTTAGGGGCCTCAAAATGCTTAGAAACTGCTCGCCCCGCGCTTCTGCCTGCGCTGCCCGCCCATGGGCGCAGCCCCTTAAATAAGTGTACTTATAACTGTACTTATTTCTGTTCTTATAACTGTACTTGTAGCCCTGCTGAAAAGTCAAGCCCCCCTCCATGCTAAGCACATCCGAGAACCTTGTCCGGCTTCGACGCAGGAGCTTTTCGGGCCTGCCATTGGAACCCGTGAGAACATGGGTTCAGGGTTTAGGGTTTAGGACCCAGGGTTTAGGGATGTTTCGTATAGCCCTTGGCCCAGAAACCTCCTGAAGGGTCATGGCCATGTGCGTCCAGCCTGCACGGTCGATGCCACTGCGGGAGTGCCTGCGTGCTGAGATCAAGTCGCTGCGAGGAGGTCTACGACGTTGCGGGTAAGAAGCGCATAGAAACCCCAACAGGAGCCCCAGACAGGTCCAAAAAACCAACTTGCCCATTGTCGAGCACACGATGGGGTCAGTGGCAGCATTCCCCCTCTAAAGAGGCAGGGACTCGACGCGCCGCAACAATGCGGCCAGGGACAACAAGTTGCAACGATGGCAAGGCGACAGAGCACAGCGCTGACATGCGGCGTGAGGAGACCTGGCGGGAAATAAGGCATTGCCGCTCCATGCATGGCCATCGGGCCAACCTCAGCACTCGAAGTACTTCAGGACATCGTGAGTTGCAGTGGCAAAACTCAGGAAGTGGCATGGCCACCCATCAACGGCGGGGCAATCATGCCTGGCATCCTCAGCAATGGCTCAAAACATACTGTGCAGCTGCGACTTATTCACCAGCTACTTCCTGAATGATCATGGAGGCTCAGGAGATGGCATTGAGCACCCGATCACGTGATGGGAATGTCATACTATGTCATACTTGTAATGTGTGCTCAATGTGCTCAAGCTGCGATAGAACAGGAGTCCATATTGGCCACGTCGGCTGAACACGCGGCATCACCCTGCTGCCCTTTCAGTACCCATACAAGAAAAGTGGTCAGAATCTGTAAGCGCCATGAGATGTAATGGAGCAGAGCATCATCATCATGGTCATTCCAGGCATGACACCGTAGCTCATCGACCTTCCAAGCAAAGTGATGACTTCAGTTTACACTCCCAAGGCACAACTGGTCTGACCAAGTAGGCAAAGACTCAAAGGATTAGCGTAGGGAGCTCGATGCCTCATCATCCCCATCATGGGCGTGAACATCGCGCTGTGGCTCATCATCCCCACGTCTGGATAATCACCATGATCCTCCACTCATCCGATGCTGATACGTGCATCTCAAGTGCTGTTACCAAGTGCTGCTAGAAGGCTTGCCATACCACTGCTTTCGGCATGTGGCATGCAGAGCTCCTTTCTTTTTTTGTGCTTCTTCTTTTTCTTCTCTTTTTCCTGCTTCTTCTTGGTCTTCTCTGCATACTTCTCCTGTCAGCAATCAGGCGTGGGCTGGGAGATGATGCACCTGACTTTGGCTATGAAGAGGCTGCTCGCTGCTGCCCAGGCCTGCCGCGCAGGCTTTGGCCGAGCTGCCTCAGGCGGAGCCTGTAAATGGCAGCAGTCGCATCTGGAAGGCTGGGGCATCAATGAGTGTTACCCTGGCCTTGTTCCTATGCTCCAATTCTCTTCTTTCTACATGCACCTGGAGAGGGGTGTCATCTGAGCACTGATAGTCCACTGGCTGTGGAGCATCAGAAGGTTCGCGTTGCTATGCTCAGGTTCCAGCCTTCCGCTTCTTCTTGGGCTTTTCTACTTCCAGCTCCAGGTCTATGGCCTACAGCGCACTTCACATGATCAACCGCGACATCAACTGACTTCACAACCGAAATGCTGGCAGCGCGCTTTGCTTTTCTGGATCGCACTGCGGGCCGACGTCTGAGCTCGAGATGTACATTGATCACCCAGCTTTCACGACACATAAGTTGCTCATCCTGATCTTAAACGCACACTACGGCAGAGCTTTTGTGCATGTGCACGTACGTGCACCTCCAGCAAGCTGGATATTGCAACTCCAGCTGTGCAACGCAGCGCCACAAAATGCTGCAAGGCAATAAAGAGGGAAGGATTTTTGGAACAAGCGCCCGCTGCAGACACGTGTCAAATGTGCGAGAACTGCACATGCACCCTGCTACTTCAGCAAACTCCTTAAACGTCTTGTTCCATGTCGATTCAAGACTTGAGCCTCGTTCGCTTTTTTTGCGTACGGGCACAACCTACGAGCTAGGATGGTAATTGGTAATTGGGCATTCAAAGGTCCTGCGTGGTGAAATTCAGTGTGAAACCACCAAGAAAGGCTGTGAGGTCTTATGCCAAAAGCCATGCCGTAGTCGCCTCGGTGTCAGGGATTTCATGTCCGGCGGAGAGGAGGAGCTGGTCAGTCTGCCGGAAGCGGCGCACTGCAAGCCATGAGCCGTGGAAGGACTGAAGCGAGATGCACTGCCTTCCGTCTTGCTTTTCACGAAACAAGACTGAAAACTCTTCCCAAGCAGAGCGGCAGTCGGACTGGATCACCTCACCCTCCTGCGTGACGCTAAGCCATGTCCCATGAGCAGCAGAACGCAGGGCAAGCTTTGACTGCCCATCAACCTGGTAAGAGTACGGCACCCATTCCTCCCACCAGGAAGGATCCGGAGCGTCTGCTTCAACGGCACCCTTCTCGGTGGCAGTGAGCCATGTACCAAAAGAGGATGCTTCGATCTTGATCGGTGGATGCTCAACTGCATGATCATGTTCTCTGCGGAGGATGGACCCCCAATCCAGACCCCATTCTTGAACCTGGCGCTGCATGCTCCACGCAGTGATCGCGTTATCAAAAGACCAGAGCAAAGACCCAGCACATGCAAAATCAAACTGATCGACCAGCCATTGGGCAAACTCGCGAGTATCTGCCCTGTTCAGGCTTGGTCCTGCAAGCGAAAACTCTCCAACAAACACCGTTTCGCCTTGCGCCCTGGAGAAGTGCCGGAGCTGCTGCAGATCCCAGGCATATGCCTCCTTGGCCTTTTCAAGACCTTGGTCTTTCGAGGTCCACTTTTGGCCGGAGTCTGGAAAATGATACAGATGCGTGTCCCAAACCACCCGGCCATAGGTTGATTCGGGGAATGCTCCAGCCTCCCATCGGTGCATCTCATACGTCCACTCAAACAGGACCACTGGAACTTTCCTGTCAAGGGACTCTCGAGCTGCAAGAATGGCTTGCTGATAGTAATTCCGTAGGAACTCGTGCCCCTCATCTGTGTGCAAGTGCGGCTCACTGATGACCTGAATTCCGAATAGGTTTGCCTTCTTGCTTGCGAACTTTGCCATTGCTCGAACTGCACGAACGGAAGTCTGAAGGTTCGCATCACTCTGCACGAAGCCCACGTGCTCCTCCCCCTCCTCCTGAGGCTTTGCAGGGCTTGAACCATGTTTCCAATATGTTTCAAGATTTGTTGGTCGCTAGCAGCTACACTTTACCAGCAGCCTACCGATGCTACACAGCCTCGATGCACACCCCACTGTGGATTTCTCCGTTCTGAGACCCAGGTAAAGCATGGAGGTCCAGCAACACCTTGATGCCGTACCTCGCATTCACAGCACTAGGCTCTGCTCTATTGCACAGACGGTGAAGTGAAACAGTGAAAGACCCTGCAACGTAAACGGTCCACGTTCCGGCAAGGGGCCTTTCTTTCCCGAAATACATGCATACATGTGCATGTGGACACACGCACACGTATAGACATTATATACATATATATATATATGCATGTTTTTCTGTCTGTACATATATATATATATATATGTATATGAACAGTGTACACACACATATATATATATATATATGTGGGTAGAATCTGCACAAAGATGTAGATATGGCTTTTGAATGCTTTCGATATTGAGCCTAAGAACAGACAGATGTATCGTTAGATAGATGCTTGGATGCCTTGACAATGCATTTGATTCGACAAACAAAGCAAACATGTCTGTACACACGGGTTAACGAAAACACCGGCAACCAGAATGGCTGAATCGAAAACTGGAAAACGGGAGCAGGTTTCTGATGCTCTGGCTTTCCGGACACGATGTCCCCCCCCCCCCCCACCCCTACCCCTGTCCCCCGCCACCCCAGTTGATGAGCAGTTTCTGATGGGTCTGATGCTGCCAGTTTGTAATTGGTTGTTGTTTCCGATACGCGATGCTTTCTGATTCGTGGTTTCTGATAGTCGGCTGGGGCTGATTCGCAGTTTCTGATGCGCAGGCTGACTTCTGATTTTCACTGATCTCTACATACGCAAAGAGTGCAAAAGCGTGAAGCAACTCACAACAACTTCTGCAACATGCAGGCCATGCAAGCCAACTACTGTACTTAAGTCTCTGCGGTGCAGCTGCTTGCCGGCATAGTCAAAAATCCTGTCGAAGTAGATTCGGTAGTCGTTGGGCGATGCAATGCGATGGAGATTTTTCAATCGCTCCCGGATGCTGGCGTGCTTGGGATGTTCGGTGGGGATCTCCGGTCCCTCGTTGTCGTCGTAAGCCACCCAATTCCAGTAGCCACATGGAACCCGGAGCACCTCCACCCCGCATCTCTGCATCTCTTTAAAATGAGACTCACAAATTGTGGCCTCAAGCCACTGGAGCATCTTCTGCTTCGCTCCAGGGCCATGCAGATCCCACAAAGCCACTCTGCGCGCACTCTTGTGAACTTTTTCAAAGAAATTGTACGGGTGCTTCATCCAATCCTCCGGGATGAACCTGTTTCCGTAGTTTACGCCATGCCACTTCGAGCAGGAAGGAGTGCTGGATTGGACTACATTGAGGCGGCTGCTTGACTTGCTCTTCGTCTTTTCTATCCTCTCTTGGCAGGTGCGCTGGCCCAGGCATGCTGCTAGGCCAACCGATACAGAGATCGGCCCCCGGTAGGAGATGGTATCCACATTGAGAAGTGTGCTACCTGCCAAGCCCGAAAGCTGCCACGCCTTAGGGCTTCAAACAGCATGCATTGGGTCATTGGGTTTGGGTTGAAGCCTTTAGGGAGGACTTAGGGCTCGAAACTTGCCCAAAACCTTCCGAGTTCAAAGCCGGCCTGTGTCGGGTTTACTTTGAGCATCTCGGCGGAAACAGAGACCGGATTGGGGAAGAAGGCCACAGAGGCTGCGGCTCCGTTCTGCCGCTGTGCACTAGGCAAGGAACTCCACGGACCAAGCGACCACATTCGCCGCTGCATCCATGTGGAGAAGCTATAACATATAGGATCTAAAGAATAAAAATCTGCATTTGGCTAAAATGGTGCAGATGATTGTTTGAAGCTGACAGACTCTGCTGCATGGCACTTGAACCTGCAGTCTACTGAAGATCTTTTGCACAAAGCATGGCTCAGTGCTACCCGTAGCTTCTCAACTGGTGGCATGTCTGAGAGTCCCTGCTCCCAGTGCAAGCAACAGGGAATTGATTGCAGCACCCCGGAACCTGCCTCTACAGGCGCCTGGCTTGCGCGTCGCCGTCGTTTAGGCGCCACGGGCTCCTGTCGGCCGATTTCAAACAGCTACTGAAAGAGTTCTAACTGTGATTTGTGATGTCTATCATTGCCTAAAGCGCGACGCAAGTGCTCCGGAGATATTGTATGACTTCGTGTGGCCCTGGAACCGTCTTTTCAGGAGCCGATGCTTGATGACTTGATGATAGCTACATATCGAAACATGTGAGCGCTCATGTCGACACCCGTTTCGTCATGTGAGCCTTGCTGACCATCTCTTGTGAGCGATGGCTCGCCAGCAAACGGAGGGGATCGAGTTAAGTTGAGCTTGTGGCTGAGGGGGGGTGTGTGCAGGTCGGGGTTGTGGGTCGGGGTTTGCCATGCGATCCGCCAGTGGAAGGCCGAGGAAGGCTCAGTAGTGCCAAAAGGCTCTGGGATGGTGTAGGGCCGTAGGGTCACTGGTCAAAGTTACAGCCCAGATTATGGGGTGTCTCTCTCTTCAGCTCCCCAAACTGTACCTTGAGCAGCTCGACAACGCAGGGCGAGAATCACATGGAATCGTCATGACATGGTCACGACCACATCGTGAAGCATGCCAAGGCTGAAATGCAGTCTGGCACTTGTGCATTGCTTCAGATGCTTGGGCCAGTTTGGGCATGTGCGTGTGTTAGTGCGCATCCTGTTCAACTGCTGTAGAAACGCGCAATCTCTTGGACTGACTGCACTGATCAGGCGAACCTTCAAACGAGTCGTCTAAGACTTCTCTGTGCAACGTCAACTTTGTGCGACAATGAGATCGGATCACACATCTTGGTGAGACGCTGGAAGCTGAACTAAGCATGAAACCTGCTGTCCGTCTCGGCGTGACGGTCGGGGCCGCACCATCGCCGCTATCGGGGGATGTCGGCTGTCTCACTCAAGCGGTCATTGCTGATCTGCTGAGCCTGCAGCTGGCAATGTCTCCACGACCTGGCAAAAACAAGGTAGGCTGCAACGCACCCCCCCACCAGTAATGAAGCAGCCGTTCATGACCCCATATCAATTTCTTGCTTTAGCCGTTTCAGCCTAAAACCCTGAACCTCACCACCCTGAACCTCCGCACCCTAGCTTGCACCCATGCCTAGGGCACAAGGTGTCTCCGTCGCAAGGCAGACCGACACATGGGTGAGTACTATTTGCGGATCTCATTTTTGCGTTTTGTACCCTTTGCGCCGTCCTGGGTGTCCGATTAGAATACGAAGCAAGTAAAGGTTTTCCGTTCAAAATACAGAGGAACTACTGGTTTGAACAGGAAAAATAGAGGGTTTTCCGACTAAAACATGAAACAAAACTTGCCTCGGCTTCCAGCCGAGAGGTGTCTAGGAGTCTAGAACAAGCAGACCATGATCTTGTCTGCACTCATTTTAGATCGCTTGGAGGCTTGGAGGAGCCGCAGATCGATGCCATGGGGGAGCCCGCCTGTCGGCGGCTCTTACAGAGGCAAGCGCCCAAAAACGTTGGGACGCCCACCTAGAAACCCCCCTTTCACCCCCCCTGCACGCCCCCTCCCCCATCCTCAAAACCTCCCTGACACCCTCCCTGACACAGCCCCTAAAACCTTATGAGCCAGGCTTTTCGAGTGTCTTGGGCCTTGGGATGTGCGTCGGCCCGGCTGCCGAGGCGGCGCCCGCAAGCTTTTACAATTAGGTTTGCCGAGAAAATGTACAAGATAGCACTTTTAGCCTCCCCCCCATTTGCAAACACTGCTTGCATGACAGGTCTGGAAAAGGACTTTGAAAGCTGAGGCGGGGGGTTGGGTGGTGGGGCGGGGGGTTTGCAAACACAATGCTCGCGTGAGGGGCTAGAAAACTGGCATGTTTCCTTAACACACGTCCTCTTTATGGCATGATAATCTCGATGCAAGCTTGCGAGGTTTCAAAACACATTAAAAACGCAGGTGCTAGCTATAATCTTGCAAACGTGGCACCTCACATTCGTCAATTCCTAAAAACTGAAATTATGTTATCTCGCAGCCCGCTGCCACCCCAAGCTTCCAGCTTAATTTCGCGAGCGAATTTGCAAGCACAATGCCCGCATGAGGGGTTTGGAAAGAGCTCGCATGTTAAGATTCGTGATAAGCCCAGCAGGCAAGGCTTCACATGCTTATTTCTTTATTCCAGTCTTTCATCTGTTCGTTCTTTCTTTCGTTCCGTATTTCGCTTTTTCTCTAAGTCCAAAAATAACCAGAGGGCCTAAGCAAACTGAAGCTGCCGGCCGCCTTTAATCTCGATCTCGCCATTGTGATGTGCCAGGACGACCTGGTCTCCAAAGTTTATATTCTCAAAATCGCGTAGTCACAACTACTACATAAGGTGCCCTAAACCCTAAACCCTAAACCCTAAACCCTAAACCCTAAACCCTAAACCCTAAACCCTAAACCCTAAACCCTAAACCCTAAACCCTAAACCCTAAACCCTAAACCCTAAAACCCAAACCCTAAACCCTAAACCCATCCCTGTTGGCCCTCGCCAGACACATCCATGACAATGCAGGATCTTGGGGGGCTCGTTCAACGGCCGATGTCCAGGGAGCTCGCGGCACAGGCATCCGACCCCACATCGACCTGCCAAGCAGTTAGCAGGTAGCATCATTCCATGGATGCACTCACACCTGAAACCCTAACCCTAAACCCTAAACCCTGAACCCTGAACCCTAAACCCTAAACCCTAAATCACTCACCATGAGCTCATGCCTCCAGTGGAGACGGCAGTGTGATGTGACGTGTGCCACAAACCTGGCGGTGAGCGATGCAGAGTCCCAGTTCAGGTCCAGGACCAGAACTGCAAACCCACAACCACCTGCTGTTGAAACCTGTCACCCACGCTTGAATACTGGCAGCGGTCTGGCCCTTGACCTGTTTCTCTTGCTTGTTATGGGTTTCGCGGATGGCAGCGTCGCTCGTCGCTCCTCTCACTCTTGCGCATCTGTCTTTGCTGCCTTGTCAGTGGCGGAAACAGACTGGTGAGCATGGCCGCACCTGGCAAACAGGACTGCCGAGTGCTTCCTCAGGTGCGAATGGCCGAGATACCATGCTAACTCAACAGCTGAGACTGCTGTCTTCATGGCCACAGACAACCCATCGGTGCAGAGGTGTGAAGCCTTCACAAGAGCAGCTTTATAAAATTTGGCCGAGCTGACATCACAGCCACAGGAGGCTCTGCAGCACTTCGTAGGATGTCTAGCACCTGCAACCAGCCGGGCGCAATTGACGAGCATGACTTGGGAGATCACCATCCGCCACGACGTCGAAGCAGAAGAGACTCCAAGTCTGAGTTCAGCTGCCTCTGATGCTGTGTTTCTGTGCACCAGCAGATGCAGGCATCGCCTGCTCGTAGTTCCAAAGTAGCGTAAGCCCATTGCTTCGCGGCGTTGCCTGAACAATGCCCACAACTGCACCGGCTCTGGGATTGACATGATTGACATTGAAGAGGGCGTGCCTCCGGCAGGAGAACCACGTGACCTGGGAGAGAAGACTAAGAAAGCTCACAAAAAGATCTTGTGGCACGAATACAGGTTCAGCAACAAGACGGTACAAGTCACATTATGCAGCTCACAGCTCAGCGATCTTGTGGTTTCTCGTGCATTCTGCCAGGAGCCAAACTCAGCAAGATTGTTCGCTGGTTTTGCTGGGAGGCCTCTTTCAATGTCTCCTTGCAAGCAGGCTAGGGTTGTGGGCACCAGCCAGCGTCTTTGCAGCAGGACATGTAGCGCAATGTGAATTGCACAGCACCTCCAAGCCCCGGACACACAGCTCCGTGTCGCCAAGCGCTTTTTCTCCAGCCGGAGCTCAAAGGCTCTAAGGTGTGAAAGTAGAGGGAGTGGAAGTGAGACGGAAAACTGTGGAGAGCAATGACAGGGCTTCGAGATGTTTTGAGCCTTGTCGCCGGAGCGCCGAGAAGCTTGGCTTCGTAGCAGGGCCACAAGGCCACAAGGTTCTCGAACATTGGAATCACTGCAGCATGACCTGCAGCAGGTCGCCAATCACAACGATGGTCAGGCTCCCATCATTCAACATCAGTCAATGCCAAGCTGCTACATTCTTGTACCCAAGCTTCTTGAGAATCGGTCGGCAGCAGGATTCTGAAAAGCCTGCGTTGGATTCTCCATGGCAAAGCACCTTTGGTTTGCATCAGCTTGGCATCAGCCCAGCCTTGAGGACCGCAAACGAAGATCACCACGTCATCTCCCGGCGGAGGCCTCGGGAAGCATTGGCCTTTTTGGCAGGAATTTGCCCCACAAGTCAGCGGAAGTTGCTCAAAAGGCTCTGCAGCTCTGCAACAATGCGAATTGCGAAGAAGCTGCATCGCTTCAGCGACCATCTCTTCAGTCACTCGCCCTGTATAGCAAACATCAGCTCCTGCAGAGAAATTGATAAGGTCACGTCTGAGACATGCCAGGGGGAAAGTGAGAGGCATGTGCTTCTTACGCTAATGTTTGTGGAGATGCCACCCCTGCCTGGTACCTCGGCCTTTGTAGAGTCTGGCCCAGTGATCACATGGGACAGGCGAATTGGCGTCTGCTCCCCGATGCCCTGGGGCGGCGTGTACCAGTGTGGCGGAAGCGCTTCCGATGCGGATCGCGTCACGTGCATGATTGCAAACCTCGGAACTTCAATAACATGACTCTTCTAAACTTATGCCTTGCGGCGTAGGCTACAAGACGGGGAAATGAAGAAAAGGCTTACCGCGTGGCAGCTAGGTGTCTCTTTCATCTTGATGGCTTGCTCCCCTAAGATGCGCTGATCCCGGTCACGCACATCGCGACGCCCCTCCTGCCAAATGTCTCGCAAGGTGGCCAGCACTGGAGTGATGCCTGAAGGGAGAGTGTAATGTTGGTTGGTTCGAAACAGGGTTCCCTTTCGGCCTCCTGAGGGTCTCGAGACTACCTTGGAACCCCTAGCTCTCCGGGCAAATTCTTTTAGAGGCTCTTCCCTTCATCAATAGAACTACAACCTACTCCCTCATATCCCAGATCGAAGGTGCCTGAACCACCTGCCAAAGCTCCACAGACTCGTGCATTGACCGTGTCCTTGCCAACCAAAAACTTGCCCTGGCCAAAGTAGAGCTGATGCCCGTGGGGACCCGACATTAGGATCTTGCTGCCTTCTGCCAGCTTCTCGGTCAAGTATGTGCTTGCACGGCCTGCTCCCAAAAAAACACACACACATCTAAAGCTTGTTCCGTACTCTATGTGCAAGCAGTCTGGAAGAACCATAACAGGCAAGCCGGCCCCGGCCCAGGGGGACCAAACCCTGGTTGAAAATGTACATTAAACAGACTTCACTCTCCGTTTTCCAGAGCGCATCAGGGTCATGCGACCTACCACAATCCTGGCCTCCGTCTGGGAAGCCTCTCTCGGCATTCTGTGGGTAGTGGCGAATCATGAGGTCGAGGGTCGGCGATGTGGTGGCGGACACAGGTGTGTAAGACCTACCTGGTACATGGAGGTCATCTGCTCTGCTGCACAATTCACTGCATACAAGTTGTTATGCGGGCTCGCGCCGTTTGTTCGAAGTACAAAAGGAAGGCAAGCTGCTCAGGATCTCGACTGGCTCCTCCAAATTTGTGCCCTTGTTCCATTCCTTGAACCCCTTGGAAGGATTCGGGACCTTGACTTCCAGTGACTTTGCTGAAAGGATGCCGCGCAAAACCCTGGTTACTGTCGCGTGGCAAGAGCATTCTTTCTCATTGCACTCACCGTGCATTTGCTGTGCTTGAAGATCGAGTAAGGTTGGCACGTGGACTTTCACGTGCTGACCTGGGTTGATGCCAGCGGTGTAGCCCGAAGGGACTTCAAACTTCAAAAGCACGAAGGTCTCGCCTTGGGTCACATGAGGACTTCTCGCTAACAAGCATATGAAATCAAGCTGGCAGCTTTCACCGACGACACAGCACTGAGATGCCATGAGGAAGGGTGCTGTGAATTCATCCTTTCTTCTTCTTTCTAGGGGCGGGAGGATCCGGTCGCGACCCTTCCCCATCACGGAAGTGACGCCCTTGCCTTAAGGAAGACACAGGCTCTGCGTGTGATCTTCTCAGCGGGCCTGGAGATCCGGATTGAAACGCCCGCCGAAACCCTTCATTCCACTCTTCCTTCCTTCCTTCCTGCTTGCCTGGGGGTCGCCCGGATGGACGCCTGTGTATCGGTCTGTCGGGTGAAGCGGAGGGCATGTGATAGTGTGTTCCCGGTTTCGGGGTTGCAGATTGACGGCTGCTTGCATGAACTTTCAAAGCTCTGGTTAACAAGACGAAAGGGAGGAGAAACCCTGCAAAAACACGTCACGCAGCCCGTGACTCAGCCCGTTGCTTCCTCTGCTTCCCGAAGTCCGTCCCACTTGGTGGTTCGAAGCGTGACGGTCCCAACCTCCTCCGAGCTCACCGAAAAACGACCCGCCAACATGCCACCCAAAGTGCAGATGCTGCCAGACTTGGAGACACACTTGCCGTTCCTACAATCTTATGTATGCATAAGAATCATAATCGTAATGTGTGTCTGTGTGTGTGCGCTTCATGTTTAGTGTTTATGTAGTGCTTTGGTCTTGATTTGTTTTCAGGCTCGCTTAGGTGTTGAGGTGGGCACGTGCAGCGCAGAGAGCTTTGCTGGATATGGTGAGAGTGAGTGTTTCTGTCACTATATGCGTTTGCTGCCGCTTAGTTTATCGGGCTTTTTATGCCTTAAGAGAGTTAGCAGCTTGGATCCGGTTCCCCGGAGCACCTGTGTTTTTGACAGGAACAGCTACGTAATGGTGAACAAAAAAAAGGCGGCTGTTGGGAGGACGGCTCGTGCTCCCCCAGTATGATGGGAGTGATGGTTGTCTGCTCTAGTGTGCGTTTCGGAGCACCTTTGCGGTTCTTAAGAATGCAACTACAGAGAACAGCCGCATGACCAAGCTTCGGGGTTGCTATGGTGCTCTTCGAACCTCCTCTTTTCTGCACGGGTTTAGGGGCCCCCAGTGGGTTGTCTCTCTCTCTCTCTCTCTGTCTCTCTCGCTCGCTTGCTGGCTCTCTGGCTCTCTCGATGCATCAGCCTCTGAGTCCAAGGGCAGCACGAGCGAAACTCCAAAGGTGGCGGGTATTGAAACATGCTGAGACATGTTGCAAAAAACACGGACAAAAGCTAGATGCGCCGTGGCACTGATCTTCTCTTTGGCCAGTAGCTTCAGTGGCTTATGCCTCGCCTCCAAAAAGCGCCGAGCACGCAACTCTGTGGCAAATCCCATGACACATTTTTGCATCGTCATGCACACCACCCACGTCATCATCCTCAGTGATGAAGCAGGCGGCTGAGGTAGTTTGGTTTCAGTGGTTAAATCTGACCGCACGAACATTCCGGCAACTTGCTGAATGCGCCCAGTCTCATGATGCCCAACTGTATAGCAATACTGTCCGGAATGACTCTGAAGTATGCCCCCATCTTGGCAAGAAGTGGACCCAACCACAGCGCGTACTTCGAGAGACCATAGGATCGCCAAATGTAGAGCGTGACCCACATACCAAATGCCGCGACACCGACATACAAGTTTTGTGGACCCAGAATGAGCCATACCACCATCCACAAGCTCCAGATGTATCCAGCATGGAAGCCCTTTGTGGTGATGATGCCTTTTCGGACTAAGGTCATCAGGAAAGAAGCAAACTGGAAGGGGAAGATGACCTGGTCATACGATCACGATGCAAAGATTCGACGACTGCCCTCCCTTCTCCTCCCTGCTACACATACCATGGTGCTTTGGGATGTTCCCCCTTATACTAGCAGTCCTTAATAGGGATTGTTATAGGGGGTACTATAATCCTAAGTAAGGACTGTTCGTGTAAGGGGGAACATCCCAGGTGATGCTCACCTCCGGGCCGAGGGGCCATGTATTTATCGAACAGCGAGCTGCCAGTCATCACGAGCAGCGAGCTTGCCTGAAACTGCGCAATGGTGTAGTACCACTTGATGGCCTTCTCAAGCCAGAGAGGGCAGCCTTCCCAAAAGGGCCAACTGGCAGTGAGGCTGGTATGCTTGTCCTGCGAAAAAAAAAAGCCATTTCAGAAGAAAAGGGGCCAGAATGCCTATCTTTACTTTATTGTTTTTGCAGACCCTATTGAGCTGGCACTGATGCGTACCGTTTTTGCTCTGATGGGCGCTTTAGCCTCCTAGAACTGCCACAGTACATCTGCCAAAGCCCAAGGCATTAGCTTACACCATCTTAACCCACTGCCAAGAACAAGTGCCCATCCGGCTTCCCAACAGCTTGTACGGGCGAGGTTCGTAATGTTGCTTAACCTGTGACTCGTGAGGAGCTAAGGGGATTCCCAGTTCCCAGTCATGTTTTCCCACCAACCCCCATTTTGAACAGGGCAGATACCCTACAGCTGGAGGCTCATCAAGGTTCCTGCTCGTTCTGAAGTACCCCGTAGGAACCTTTCAGGAGGTGGGACCCTGTAAAGGAACTTCGTAGGAAAAACTAGGGACCACCTCATGTTGGGGCTTCTGCTGGAGAGCTCGGGACCTTAGACCTAATCGAACCTGCCCGCAATCCGCAATCTGTCGAACTCTCCTCGCGTATGTACGCCGTGACCACATCCACTGAGTACAGCTGCCCATAGAGCACCTCATAAGCGACAGAACCGAATAGAGTGTCATAGTGAGCACTGTGCGAAATGTA